GCCCTCTCTTAGGGATTTTGATACCACTTCCCTAATGACAAATGATGCCCATCTCTAGAAACAAATGATTTCAATTTGGACCTGAGACTGGTGAATGGAGGTCACCGGTGTCAAGGCTGGGTGGAGGTCCTTTACAGAGGCTCCTGGGGCACCGTGTGCGATGACGGCTGGGACATCAACGATGCCAACGTGGTCTGCAGGCAGCTGGGCTGTGGCTGGGCTGTGTCTGCCCCTGTGCATGTCCAGTTTGGTCAGGGCTCAGGGCCAATTGTCCTGGATGATGTGTCCTGCTTTGGGCATGAGTCCTATCTGTGGAACTGCCCCAACCGAGGTTGGCTCTCCCATAAGTGTGTCCATGCTGAGGATGCCGGAGTCATCTGCTTAGGTGACAATTCTCTAGAGTCATGTGCAGTTTTGCTGAAGCAACGGCTCCTTTGAACTGGCCTCCTCTCACCCTGAGCTTTTCTGGGAGATAGTGGTTCTCCTGAGACCTGCCCAAGGTAATGACATTACTCATGTCACTGGTGTCTGGCCTTGGTTGGTGTTCTGTGGCTTCTTCCTTAGTTTGGTCCCTAAAGCAGCCAGGGGTTGAGTCTTCTGGAGCCTGTTAGAACAAATTCCCCCAGGGCTGCAGTTTGGAGACAGGCCCTCGGGAGTGTGTTCAGGCCTCCCAAGGAGCATTTCTGAGAGAGGAGGAGGGAAATCACTCCAGCATTTTTCTTGCTCATCATTGTGTGGCTCCTTGTAACACATCTGGTCCGTGGGACTGACTCACGTTCTCTTCTTTTTCCTGTAGGACCTACAAGTTCTCCTACTCCGTCAGGTGAGTGTGTCCCCAGCCCCCTTCTGGGATTGCATTTCCTCTGTGGGATTCTGGAAGGAGGAGGAGTGGGTCAGAGGCGGTGCTCTCAGGAGGGGGTGCTCTCCGAGGCCCAGCTTCCCAGAGTCCCAGCTGCTCCTGCTACTGCTGTTGACAGCGTTTGTCCAGATGCTGCTGTGGAAGGGGCTTTGGGCCTCGGGTCACTTTGGACGTAAATATCTGTCTGAATTAGAGCATGGGGAGTTGGGACCTTCATTGAGGGACATGAGCCGGGAAATCCACTGCACATGTCTGTCTGATAAAGAATCCCTTCCAGAGCATTCTTTGTGCTGCATTGACAATCTTCTGTGCCCCGTGTGTTGGTGCCCAGTGCAGCCTCATGGAGTCCATGTACTCCAGCCTCTAACCAGGAAAATGACCTAATTTGGCTCATCCAGCTAATGACCATGGAATTAAAAATTTATCTGGTAAATAAAACAGATAAATAAATAAAAAAATAAACATTGTCTTTCTAGGTTGGTGGCACCCAACCACCACCATCTCTGCCACCACTGGTCGTAGTATCACGTTTTCTGCCTACGTACAGGACCGGGAGGGATGTCCTGTTCTAAGCCTGTCCCCCGAGGCCATCTCTGTCTGCCCACACCTGCCTGCTCCCTGGGGACCCCTGCACCCACACACCCTTCCCACCTCCCCTGTCTGGAGGATGATCTTGACTAAGGAGTTCTGCTTCTTCATTTCAATGAGAGAAATATCCTTAGACAAATAGGCTCATAATTTTATTTCTTGAAGTATTTTCAAAACTTGGGAAGGAAGAAGGGTGACAGATTGTAAATGGGCCATTTCACAGTGATGGTGCTTTTTCCTGTCGTTCCGCAATATGGGTATGTTTCAAAACCTTCCCTTTTGCTCTTAAAACAAGGGGTCCGGCTACTTTTGTATCATGAACCCTTTCCTCACCGTTGTTTGAAACACCTATATTATTTTTTATTGTCCACTATGCTCAATTGCTCAATGGATCCCCAGTCTCTGTGCATTTAAGTGGTTTATATCTCATTATTATAAATGATTCTGTGACATGGACTATTTTCACAGAGAAATCTTTGCATATATCATCAATTTTTTTCTTTAGGATAGAAATAGATTTAGGAGGCTAATGGTAGCACAGTGCCTGGTATGCAGTGTGCCTGGTAAAAATATCAACTCTTCCCATTGGAAGGGTTTTCCCTGTGTTTGGCCACGGTGCCTCTGAGAATGGTTGTGCAGTATGGAATGGTGAAAAAGATAAACTCATTACCTGCCTCAGGTAGTTAGTTGACAGGACTAAATGTTTGTCTGAACTGAGCTGTGAAGTCCCAGTTCCGACAGGTGCTTCCCAGGACAGGCTGGGGTGCCAGAGAACTTCCTTCCTTGGGGGCTGGGGCCGTTCTTTCTGGAAGTGACACTTCAGCTGACAAGGGGTGCACTCCCTGCATCTTTTCAGGGTCCTCCTTGCCATCTGCACTGACGTCCTCAAATCTCTCCTGCTGGGTCCCTGTGACATGCCGTCCCCTCTTTCCCTCTCTGCCTGGTCTGCTCCCCACTCATCTGGGTCAGGAGCCAAGCCCCTGGCCCCACCTTCCCTGGGCTTTCCTCCATCTCGGCCTCGGTCCATGCCTTTGGTCCTCTCCTCCACACGGAGGGCAAGCCCGGTTCCAGCCCCCACTGTAAGCCCAGGGCCGGTGCAGTGCAAATCAGCCAGCCTGCATCAACAACCATGTAGAAGGTGCTAGAAAACTGATCATGATCCTCTCTGTTTGTCAACAGTTGCTGCTTCCACCCTTAGCTACCCAAACGGTAAGTTCTGGGCTCCCTGACGAGTCTGTGGCAGAGGTGCCCACAACCTCCTTCCCTCCCCTCCTGTGGGGGGACAAAGAGAATGACAGGGAGCGGGCTCCCTGGGCGCAGCCTCCCGGGAGGGCTTCTCCCCTGCCCTCAGTGGGTGGTGCAAGTCCGGGCTCCTCTTGTCGGGTTTCTGCCTTAGAAATTGAGTAGGAAATTCCTCCCAGGTGGCTGAGCCAGGTGCTGCGGGCTCATCACGTTTCCTTCTTGTTCTGACAGTGAATTCCTGCGGAGGCTTCCTGGCCCAATCCTCAGGAAACTTTTCTAGCCCATTCTACCCAGGGAACTATCCAAACAATGCCAGGTGTGTGTGGGACATTGAGGCCCCGAACAACTATCTGGTGACTGTCATCTTCATAGATGTCCGGTGAGTGCGTGGGCGCCAGCAGAATGAGTTGGGGACCCCACAGACATTTAGAGAGAGAAGACATGGGCCATTCAGGGGCGAGGCTTGTCCAGGGACAGGTTTTATTACTAGTTGTTTTTGACCTAGAACAGCAGCAGCCCATGGGGAGGGGGGCCTGGAGCCAAGATCCCTGGAGTGACAAGGGCTCTGGTTTCAAGTTCCAGGTCTGTCACTAATTTGCTGTGTGACCATGCGAAATCACTCAACCTTCCCAAGGGTCAACCCAAGGAGGGGAATAATATATTTTCCTTTCCCTGGTGATTCCGGGACAGGTGCAAGAGTATGTGAAAACACTTGGAAAATGTCACCCAGTGGGAGTAATGGGGAACAATTCAAATCCTCCCCTTAACAACTGCATCCATGTGGGACCTTTCCCTGGCCTCTCCCCATCTTCCCGTGATCAGGTGGAGGGGGGAGCCCGCTGGGACACCAGGTGGCCTGTTCCTCATCCAATTGCAAGTGGGAATCATTGTTCTAAGCAGAAGGGGACGTCACCAAAAGCATGTTAATATATGATCTATTCAGAGAGGGGGTGGCCAAGCTGACCAGGAAGAGGAACCCTTAATGTTCAGAATCCTGGACGCGGGAAACCATGACTTCTCCCCCAGCAGCCATTGCAGAACAAAATAGTTTTCCCTCTTGAGTTCTACTTACAGAGAAGTTGGAAGTCTCTGCTTTAGAAATCCATTTGGGGTTTTGCAAAAGGTATATTATCTGGATCTCACTACAATACAAGGGCTGCATCTCAACCTGACTGGTTCTTTAGCCATCATCTCAATAGCAGCGACGGCCACCATTCAGTGACATCTTAGAGAGCACTTGTCCTCAGGCTGTATCACTGGAGCCTCACAACAGCCCCCTTCCATGTGCAGGGACAGGTTTACCCAATATTTATTTATTCAATTACTTGTTTCCATCACTATGAACTCACGGATATTTGTTTTTATTTATTTATTTATTTACATTTTAAAAAATTGGTTCATTTTAGTTTTACACGACCGTAGAATGTATTTTGACATATTATACATACTTGGAGTATAACTCCCCATTCTGGTGGTTGTACACGATATGGGGTTACACTGGTCGTGCATTCATACAGGAATATGTCCAATCCTTCTACTATCTTTCACATTTCCATCCCTGCTCCCTTCCCTTCATTCCTCTTTAATCCAATGAGCTTCTGTTCTTCCCTCCCCCTATTGTGTGTTAGCACCTGCATATCAGAGAACATTTCGGCCTTTGGTTTTTGGGGATTGGCTTATTTCACTTAGCATAATAGTCTTTAGTCCCATCCATTCACCAGCAAATGCCTTAATTTCATTCTCCTTTATGGCTGAGTAATATTCCATTATGTATATATACCACATTTTATTTATCCATTCATCTGTTGAAGGGCACCTAGGCTGGTTTCATAGCTTAGCTATTGTGAATTAAGCTGCTGTAAACATTGATGTAGCTGTAAACATTGATGTAGCAGCAGCCCATTGATGTAGCTGCATCACTATATATAGTATGCTGATTTTAAGTCCTTTGAGTATATGCTGAGGAATGGGATAACTGTGTTAAATGGTGGTTCCCTTCCAAGTTTTCTGAGGAATCTCCATTTTGCTTTGCAGAGTGGTCGCACCAATTTGCAGCCCCACCAGCCATGTATGAGTGTGCCTTTCCCCCAACATCCTCACCAGCATTTACTGTTACTTGTATTGGACGTTTGTTTTATTCTGGGGGAGCCGGGAATCCTTTGATGGAAGAAAGATGGTCTAAATTAGGATGTGAATCCTTTCTTTTAGGATTTAAAGGGTTGCAGAGAGGCTGCAGATTTCATATGTGCCACCTCAAAAAGCTGAACACAGATCCAAGCAGAGTGGTCGTGGGGGGACAGACCCCCTCAATTCAAGAAAATCAATGATGAGCTTTGTCAGAGTCCCTAGAGCACACCTCCCCTCCCCGCCAGGCATGGACCCCTGTGTCAAGTTGCAGACGAGTTGGGGCTAACGTTGTGTGCTCTGTCCCTGTAGACTTGAAGGAGGCTGCAACTACGACTACATTGAGGTTTTCGACGGCCCCTCCAGCAGCTCCCCGCTCATTGCCAAAGTGTGTGATGGGGCCACGGGCTCCTTCACGTCCTCCTCGAACTTCTTGTCAGTCCGCTTCATCAGTGATGGCAGCGTCACGCAGAGCGGGTTCCAGGCCACATTCTACTCCATCCCTTCCAACGACAGCACCAGTAAGTGCCCAGGGGAGTGCAGGGTTAGGAGCGGGGAGGTCCCTGGGAGCCTTCTGCGGCTCAGTTCCCCTCTGGTTGTGAAATAAGAAATTAGAGCAGCCCCAGCAGCCCCCCAGGCTCGATTTCCTGCAGGGAGAGGCCACGTGCAGGAGGTTTTGGGATTCTGGCTGCCTGAATGAGGTCAGCAGTCAGCTCTGACTGATGAGAGTTGGACGGGCCTTAGGCAGTCAGCAGGCACTAAGTAGAAGGCACAAGAGGGTGGTCTCAGCAAATGAGAAGTCAGTGCCCAAGGCAGAGTGACCACTCCGCTGGAAGTTTTGTGACCATCCCGAGTATGAGACACTGGTCATGTCCTGAGACCTAATACATTTGGCTTCTATCTGAAGACGGATGCAGCTGGTCATAGGCACTTCCAGGAAAGGCCATATGGAGCTGATTTAGGATGTTATATGAACTAATGTAAACCTTGGCCAAGGACTGGGCAAAGTGACGTCCAAGACTTTTTATGTAGTTAGGATTGAAAGCATTGGGTTTCTTCATATCTAAATGACTTTACTCCATGACTTCTCTGCAATTTGACTGTAGTTGCTTTAATTTGTGGGCAATTGGTAACTTGGCAATTCGTTTCGGTTATTTAAAATCCTGCCTGCAACACTCCGTTAGAGAAACCCCAAGTGTCCTCATTGAGCTTTACTGAGGATGGGGCTGGGGGGAGCTCAAGAGCCCTTGGAGGTTGCCGTGAAGCATATTCTGTGCAGGTATCCTATATGCTGACCACCTGGGTCACCATCTTTATCTGTCCACCTGTATCTGGGAAGAGCACCCAGTAGGACTGGAGGGGTTTGGGGGAGCTGACCAAGTGCATGATCTTCCCTTGTCCCTCAGGTCTGTTCTGTCTGCCGAATCACATGCAAGCCAGTGTGAACAGGGACTACCTCCAGTCCCTGGGCTATTCTGCCGGGGACCTTGTCATTTCTGGATGGAATGGGAACTACAGGTGTCAGCCCCAGATAACTTGGAGCCACGTGATATTCACAATCCCCTACACAGGCTGTGGAACCCTCAAGCACGTAAGCCCGGGGCTGCCTCTGTTTCCTGTTTAGCTGCTTCCTTACAGCGATCAAGTGCTAAGCGTCTTGAACACTGGGAATCCAGAAATGCTATCATAGTATAACCCGAACGTAATCAGAATAAAGGAAGATAGACATCTCTGGTGCGTGAAATAGCGGCAACTACCTCCAAGTAGGAGGAGGAAGCTCCGCAGGTTGTTCCTCCAGCTGTGTCCAACGGGGGCGGGGGGGGGGGCACCTGGCAGGCTGTCACTCACATTAGTGATCCCCAGAGCAGCTCCGAGGGGCAGCTCTGGGTTTTGTAGGGCCTGAAGCCTATACAGTGTAGGGTTGAGGTGAGCGAGAGCAGCAGGGTTGTCATTGAGCAAAGAATGCAAATATATTTTACTTTCCCAAGTTTTACGAAAACTTAGGAAACACATTGCAAACCCGTTGCTAAGCCTTGGCAGAGGCCTGTGGACTCATTGGCTTCACAATGAATCGGTCTCTGCAGCTATGGTTGTTGAGCTGTCACCATCTAGGGTGACCAGCCATCCTGGATTGTCCAAGACTTTACATATTTTAGCATAAGATGTTCCTTGTTTCAGGAAACCCCTCAATCCTGGGCAAACTGGGATGGTTGTCCTCCTACGGGTTATAGATTCTGTGGTTTGTCTCTTTCCCCAAATTCTCATTAAGTAGTTTCCTATTGTCATCCACTTTAAAAATGCTGAACACAATTCATATGGCTGATTGTGACAACTGTTGGTACTGAATTATAAAGTAAAAAAAAAAAATTCCTTTTAGAAACTGGAAAGAGAAAATATGTGCTTCTTGAGCAGATAGATCCATAGAGCTCTTTCCTATGGCTCTTCCCCAGATCTGGGCCCAGAGTGAAGCCTCTCTGGCACCCCCTAACTGGCTTAGATGACTTGCCCCAGGCTCTTGGTCTGGGGAAAAGGAAAGGAACTGATCAGAGAGGAGAGGAAGGGCCGAGAGGTGCCGAGAACCACAATAAGTATCTTCTTAAGCTTTTCTCTTTTCCCATGTTTCACCTGGAAGAGACATATTCAGAGTTCTGCAACTGCAGGCGGGACGTGGCAGATTCTCCAACACATTCCATTCTGAAGGACAATTACATTTGAATATTTGAGCTGCACAGACGCTGGCTTCAGAAAGGACTTTGTTTTTCAGTGTCCCAGCCAGCCAGGAATGGAGTTTTGGCCCTCGATAGGATCATGACTAACACAGAAAACCTCTCTCTCTCTCTGCTTTAGACCTTCTGCTTAGACCATTATTATGTTATTCCCCTGCCCTTTCTTGCAAAAGCACTTGTGGCATGCTGGGAAGCGTAGCATAGGGGACCCGGAGAGATTTACTTCAGACCTGTTCCTCAGGCGGGGAGGAAGTCCTGCAGACTGCAGCCTGGTGATGGTATGCTTGTGCTCACCTTGCTGGGGCCAGATGATCTCGACCATGGAGCTTCTTGGGGACCTTGTCCACCTGTGTCCTCTTGGCCATTCAGCTGCCCCTGCTCCACTCATTACAATACTTCTGCTGGGTCTCTGGCTCCTGTTCCTTCCATTCACTCCATAGGTCCCTAGAGATGCTGCTGAAGCTATTGGTGATACACTGCCAAGCCCTGGGGGGAGATATATATATATATATGCCTCATCTTTTCCTAGAAATTCTCACAGGCCCCCAGGTGAAAGGCCACTCTCTGTAGATGGCGGGCACATGAAATGGCAGGAGGCACCAACATTCTTATGAACATGCTGCTTAGCTGCTTAGTGAAAGGCATGGCAGCAGACGGTCCTGTGGTACAGGTGGGCGGGACAGGAAGGACTCCAGGGTTTCCGGGACCCACTCAGTTGTCCATATGAGCCTCAAAGGAGTCCCAACCTCAGAGGTCAAGAGCTGCGATTCTGGATCTCTGTGGCTTCCAGCTCCCACGGAATCCATCACCACGTGGTGGTAGTTACCAATCAACCAAAGCAGAAAGCAGTTAACACCGAGCTCACCGACGTGTGCCCCTCTCCTCAACAAGTATGTGACTATCTTCTCTGAGACCCCAGCAACAGTGAGCATGGAGCAGAACTTTCTGTTCTGAGCCCTAAGCCGTGGAATCCAGGCCGACTTGGCTAGTTGCATGGCAGGTCAAGGTACCATCCAGACACGCCCATTGTGCCATGAGGAGGAGCTCCAAGAGGTGCCAACCACTGGCCCACACTGAGGTCCCCATCATGTGGCAGGGGAAGCAGGGATTGTGCAGGGAGGGGGTCTTGCTCGTTGAGCCGGACATCCAGCCCTGGTGAAAGTCACCGTGGCAGTAGGAATGTGCCATCTCTGTGGCTGTGGAAGGGTTTGACATCTCATTGTCACTGCCTTCTCATTCTAACCCTGAAAATCAGCAATGAGATTCCCTTGGCAGGTGACACATGCCTGACTCTGCTCTCCGACATGCCTCTCCTAGGTAGACAATGACACCATCAACTATTCCAACGTCCTCAAAGCAGCTGTGACAAATGGCATCATCAAAAGGAAGAAGGACCTCCTCATTCATGTCAGCTGCAAGATGCTGCAGAACACCTGGGTCCACACCATGTACATCACCAACGACACCATCCAGGTCAAGGAAGTGCAGTACGGCAACTTTGATGTGAACATTTCCTTCTACACATCCCCCTCTTTCTCCTACCCCGTGACCAGCAGCCCGTACTTAGTGGATCTGGACCAGAGTCTGTACCTTCAGGCTGAGATCCTGCATTCAGACGCCTCGCTGGCCTTGTTTGTGGACACCTGTGTGGCTTCTCCAAACCCCAACGACTTCTCATCTCTGACTTATGTTCTCATCCGAAGTGGGTAAGGGCTGTCTTTCTGGGCAAGATTTAACCCTTTGCCTGAAAAGTCAAACAATGAGTAGCCCTGAAGCTTTGAGGACTCCAGATTTTGGTTAACCAGAGTTCTTAGGAGTTCAAGTGCAGAGGATCCCATGCTGTATGCAGTCACATCATGTGGCTTTTACCCTTGAGGTGCTTTTGTGCTGTGTCCTGGGCCACATCCTGACCTGCCCCATCTCCTGCTTACATGTTAGAATGGAAGAACCCACCAGTGGTCAGGTTGGCTGTCAACTGGGATTAAGCCCCAGGTGACCCAACTCTAGCCTTAGGGTTAGAAAGCCCTATAAGCTGTGGGGAAATCATTGGATGTGGAGCAGACCAAGGTGGAAGTATGTGCCTCTGGGCCAGTTTCCTCATCTGTCAACTGGGGATGGTGACGTTCACATCAGAAGGCTACTGGGAGGACTACATGGAAAAGAGTGGATGGGCTCCTAGCATAGAGTGGGCCCAGCAGGTGGTCCACAGAATTGTTACACCAGAGGCAGCGGGAGGTCCTCGTGACCTCCCTTAGCCCGGGAAGTTCTGCGGTCCAGCTCAGGGAGATCTGCTCTCCCGTGCTCCAGCTTCCCGGCATGAGGCGTGCTGGAGCTGGGGTTGACTCCTCTGCACTCCTGCAGGGCTCCCAACCAATCCCCATTCGGTAGTCTCTGCTGGCGGGTGGCATGGCACCTCTTGGCTTACACCTCATAGCCATTGCTTCCAAGAGAAGTTACGCTAACAGGGTAAGGGGTGCTGCTAGGCATCTCACTTCCCTGAGGTCCTAAGACACATCTCTTTCCGGGCACAATTTGAACATATGTCAGTTCAGTAAACAGAAATTGAAGCTTGTCTTTTCATAGCCACCCCCTCAGTAGCAAAGATGGGGAGAAGGCTTACTCAGAACCCCATTCCTCAAATAGTAACAAAGTGGCATTTCAAGTGGTGTAAAGTGGTCAAAATTAATACAATTGATGAGTGATTCAGTTTCCCCTGGCCAAAGGATTCTTGTCTGTGGTGACATTCTGCCATATATGTGATTGATGGAGTATGCCTGGAGAATGGAGGGCTGCATTTGGGGGAGAGTGTCCCCAATGGGTCTGGAGCACAGGAGTCACCCGGCTCTCAACCACATCATCCACCTGTAGGCCCATGAGAATTAACTGGGCTCAGACTTTTCCTGTCCACACACATTCTCCTTATTTGGTCACACTTGGTATCTTGCATTTTCATTTTATTTTAAATTTTGTTCTTGTATTTTAAACAATTTCCCCAGGTGATTCTGAAGAGCAGCCTGGGCTCTGCAGCTCTGGCCCCCACAGAGCCCCTGACTGGCAGGGTTTTATGGGAAATGGAGTCATTGGCCTAGCAGCTCCCAGGTTACCCTGACCTTCCACAAATGTCCCACCTCTGAATGGACCCCTGGGTATTTTCTCTCACCCTGGTGGCTAAGGGGGCTGCTGTGGAAACCGAAATCTGGGTATCTGAGACCAGCTGAGTTGAAAACAGAGGTAGGAAGAAAGCTCTGGAAGTGGAAATAGGAGGGTAAGCAGACGCAGGGCCAGGACTTTAGGACAGCCTGGCTGCTCTGTCACCAGCCCAGGCCAGCTTTCCTTGCCTCTTCTCTCTTGCCCCATCACATGGTACCAGCGAGATGCTTCCTCACCCATTTCTTAGCAAAGCTCCTTAGGCAAAGACTCAGGTTGCTTTCCTTCCAGCACCAACCAGCTGGAAGGAGGCGCCTGGGGGGTCAGGAAGTGCTTGATCCTGGAGGAGGGTCCTGGAGCTACTCAGGCCAGTGTGGAAAGCATAGCTACATGGGTCCCAGTGGCTCAGGAGGAGCAGACCCTGGGAGTGGGAGGGCCAGGCAGGTCAGGGAATGTCAGCAGTACCCAGTGTGCAGCCCAGTGTCACCTTGCAGGGCCCTGCAACCAGAAGAGGGATGAAGTCATTTTCTTTCCTGGCCTATCTCTGACCTGCTTATGGGCTCCACATTTGAGCCATTTCCCTGACTTATCCAGCTTGTAGGGGGCCATGGAGCACATGGTCATTGGGACTGGGCTTTACCACATTGGGCACTGTGGGGCTTGCTTGTCTATCTGGAAACTCCAGGGGTATTTTCTAGTTAAAGATGCTGGAGATGTACCAGAGCCACCGGGATCCGTCTGCACGCCTCTCAGTGAGGGGACACTGGAGGCCTGGGCTTCTGGGAGTTCTGCTCCTGGTGCAACTGAGTCAGGATGAATCCCGGGCCCTGGTGAGAGCTAACAAGTTTCTTTTCTCTTCTCCCAGGTGTGTAAGGGATGAAACCTACCAAACCTACTACTCGCCATCACCCCGCATCACCCGCTTCAAATTCAGTTCCTTCCACTTCCTGAACCGCTTCCCCACAGTGTACCTGCAGTGTAAACTGGTGGTGTGCAGAGCGTACGACTACTCTTCGCGCTGCTACAGAGGCTGTGTGGTGAGATCCAAGAGGGATGTGGGCTCCTACCAGGAAAAGGTGGATGTCGTCCTGGGACCCATCCAGCTGCAGCCCCCTACCAAAGACAAGAACCAGCCACCCTCAGACTCCACTTCCAACCAGCGCCCAAGGCCGTGACTCCCCAGGACTTGGGAAGCTTCTGCCGGTTCCCACTCAAATTGAGCACCTATTATGTGCCAGGCACTGTGCTATGCCTGGCCACACAGAGTAGAATTAGACCTGGTTGCTATCTTCCCCCAGGGCTCTAGGTCTCTGGGGCCCATGTGAAGGGCTTGGGCAGAGTTCTGGCCTGGAAACAGACAGACCTGGCCCCTGTCTCTTCTGGGTCTGAACTGCCAGAACGCACACTTCTCATCTGTAAAGTGAAAATGCTAGCACATCTCTTAGGACTGTTGAGAGGGTTCAATAAAGTAATGTTAATCAAACTGCCTTGGCCCCTGCTTGGTGTGAGTCGCTGAGTGCTGGGTGAACAGTAGTTTTTGTGATGATCACCACTGTTACCCAGAGGAACAGCGTTAGTGACGATCTCATTCCTCCTGATGATAATAATGTAACACTGGGTGTGTTGAAATCAGGTCTGGGCAGCTGTGGAGACACAGCAGCAGGGCTTCGTAGGGACTGCTGGCAGGGTGTGGCACTGCACAAGCCAGATCCTGTTCCCCCCTAGAGCAGGGAGTACAGTCTCTGCCCTGCTGTTTGGTCAGGGGGGTGGATGAAGCAGGGCTCGCTGCGGGCTTCTCAGGATATCTTCCCAGATTGGAGACAGGTCAGCAGATGTGCTGGCCGTGGTGACAGGGGCAGGAGTGGGGCAGTAATGGCCACGAATCCTCTTCACGATCAGGGTGCCCACCTTGGGTGGGTGTCTGACAGCTCCTCCTCTTCCTGCCCATCCCTGTGGCCCGCTGGTTCTAGACTCTTTCCTTACTTATTCATTCAGTGCATTTATCTACTGAAGGCCTACTGTGTGCCAGGAGGCAAGAAAATAAACAGATAAAGATTAAAATGTTACACTCCAGTGGGGCAAGATGCAATCACCTGACGGGGTTGGAGGTACGGAGATGAGCAGGGCAGGAGGGGCTGGGCCGGGCCAGCTCTCCTCTTACTCGACTCCAGCAGCCACCGCAGTGGGGCAAGGTACCTCTTTTTTTTTTTTTTTTAATTTTTTATTGTTGGCTGTTCAAAACATTACATAGTTCTTGATATATCATATTTCACAATTTGATTCAAGTGGGTTATGAGCTCCCATTTTTACCCCATATACAGATTGCAGAATCACATCAGTTACACATCCATTGATTTACATATTGCCATACTAGTGTCTGTTGTATTCTGCTGTCTTTCCTATCCTCTACTATCCCCCCTCCCCTCCCCTCCCCTCCCCTCCCCTCTTCTCTCTCTGCCCCCTTTACTGACATTCATTTGTCCCCCTTGTATTATTTTTCCCCTTCCCCTCACTTCCTCTTGTATGTACTTTTGTATACCTCTGAGGGTCTCCTTCCATTTCCATGCATTTTCCCTTCTCTCTCCCTTTCCCTCCCACCTCTCATCCCTGTTTAATGTTAATCTTCTTCTCATGCTCTTCGACCCTACTCTGTTCTTAGCTACTCTCCTTATATCAAAGAAGACATTTGACATTTGTTTTTTAGGGATTGGCTAGCTTCACTTAGCATAATCTGCTCTAATGCCATCCATTTCCCTGTAAATTCTATGATTTTGTCATTTTTTAATGCAGAGTAATACTCCATTGTGTATAAATGCCACATTTTTTTTATCCATTCATCCATTGAAGGGCATCTAGGTTGGTTCCACAGTCTAGCTATTGTGAATTGTGCTGCTATGAACATCGATGTAGCAGTGTCCCTGTAGCATGCTCTTTTTAGGTCTTTAGGGAATAGACCGAGAAGGGGAATAGCTGGGTCAAATGGTGGCTCCATTCCCAGCTTTCCAAGAAATCTCCATACTGCTTTCCAAATTGGCTGCACCAATTTGCAGTCCCACCAGCAATGTACAAGTGTACCCTTTTCCCCACATCCTCGCCAGCACTTGTTGTTGTTTGACTTCATAATGGCTGCCAATCTAACTGGAGTGAGATGGTATCTTAGGGTGGTTTTGATTTGCATTTCTCTGACTGCTAGAGATGGTGAGCATTTTTTCATGTACTTGTTGATTGACTGTATGTCCTCCTCTGAGAAGTGTCTGTTCAGGTCCTTGGCCCATTTGTTGATTGGGTTGTTTGTTCTCTTATTGTCTAATTTTTTGAGCTCTTTGTATACTCTGGATATTAGGGCTCTATCTGAGGTGTGAGGAGTAAAGATTTGTTCCCAGGATGTAGGCTCTCTATTTACCTCTCTTATTGTATCTTTTGCTGAGAAAAAACTTTTTAGTTTGAGTAAGTCCCATTTGTTGATTCTAGTTATTAACTTTTGTGCTATGGGTGTCCTATTGAGGAGGCAAGGTGCCTCTTGCCTGGGTTCTTGCAACCATTCCGAAAATACCCCACCCCCTCCCCTCCGGTCTTGTTCTCCCAAAGCCCAGCTCTCAGTTCCTACCCCAAACCCCTTCCCTGACTCCGTGGCTAACAAGACTATGCGAAATAAATCTCTCAGCCTGAACTCAACGGCCATCTGGGGCGTGGCCTCGGCTTCCCCTTGGCAACTTCCTTGATTTCTCTACCCTTCCCACAGAACAGCTCTAGGGGGTCACCGCCCTGCCTTGCCTGCCCTCTTCGGGTCCTCTAGGCTCCATCCAGGTCCCCACTCTCCCCAGACCCGGCAGAGGCGGATGTAGAGAAGCTGGCCACTCCCGGGGTGCTGTCACAGCACGGCTGTCCTCGAGGGGGTCGCCCTAGCTGGCTGTGGCAGGTCGTGCTGGGGAGGATGAAGTGACCTCAGAGCCACCCTTGGAGCACTAGGACGCAAGCCAGAGCTCGCTCAGACGAGGGCCCGTGACCTCAGGCACCCAGAGAGGCTGCAAGGAATGAGGTGCCCAGCTTGGTGCCCAGCAGCATTCTGACCCCGGGGGCAGGGTGAGGTGGCAGTGAAGAAAGGCAGGAGTCAGGGCTTCCCCAGATCCACAGGCTCAGGCTGGGCAGAATGTCACAGAAGAATGGTGCCAACGGCTACACCTACGTGCCGCTGTGAGCCAAAACCTAGCGGCAGCAGAACCCTCTCTAGATAGAAACCCTTGTCTGGTCTTTCATTAATCAGCTCCTTGGACGACAGTACAAGTCTCGACTTTCCGCACGATAGGGCAAACTGAACAAAATATCCCTTTGAAAGCAAGTGAGTGTCCGCTTGGTCAGAGTTTCCAGAGGCTCACCTACATACTGGACCTCTCGACTGGACCCTGTCAGCAGGAACAGCAAAGGGCTTCCAGAACCCTCCAGGGAATGGATAGTGTGTCCTCCCCGTGTGGCCTGTTTGGGATCTGTCCAGAGCAGGATATGAAGGATGAAGACCAGAAAAAGACAAGAATGCTGCCACACCGTGATTCTTCGTGCTTGTGACTTAAAATCAAACATGACTGCTCCATTCCTCCAGGAGACTGCATCTCTCTGTTTGTGACACTGTGTCCACACTGTGGGTTACAGAGGGTTGGGGAGTGGGCATGCAAACCCCGAGGGCCCCTAGGAGAGGAGTCTTGCTTGCACAACGTCTCCAGGGAGAATGGGGTTGACAGGTGACCCCAGAAGCTCAGAAGAGACGATGGGTTCCAAGGCGGCAGTGAATCTGCTGGAAGGCAGAAGAGAAGGCAGACCCCAGGCCCTTAGCTGGACTCCACAGGAATGGGAACGTTTGTGTACCGTGCTGGCATCCACCCCTGGACCAGGCTCAGGACCCCTCCCCAGAGAGGGAGCTTCTCGGACAAGCCTAACTCTGTGACTTGAGTGGGGTGAAGCCCAGTAGGACAGCAGCTGCTGGGGATACTCCAGGACAAAGGGACAGCTCTGCAGCTCTGACCGGTGCTGACTGAGAGCTGCCCACCAGCTCTCTGTGGGCTGCAGGGTGAGCTCCTGAACCTTTCTAGGGAGCAGAGGAGCTAGGGGGCGGATTTTGCCAGTGTCCTTCTCCTGGCCATCCCTGCCCATACCCCACGTGCCCTCCCAGGTGATCCAGAAGAGACTGGAGGTCAGGCTGTGGGGCCAGCCTGTCATGGAATTCAGTGGCAATGCAGTGAAAGGCAGGCACCTGCCCAGGCAGCCGCCTTGGGAAAGCCCTCAGAAAGCGAATTCTATGTGTTTGGAAATCTTAAAGGCCAGCTGATAAACAGCTGTTACTAAGAATTCCGTTGTAGAGACTTACAATTTAGTGAACCATGTTAGGAACAAAGGTCTATTCACCACTTCCTCGTTCTTTGGCTTCATATGACTTCCATCATTGCCTAAGGTTATTTTGCATGTATCATCTCTGTCTGGTGGAAAGGCTACCTAGTGCTAAGTGACAGCCCATCTAGTCCCAGCTCCACATACAGTAGTGCCATATTGTTAGCATAAAATGGCCATCGTGGGGGGGACATGCAACGAATGGAAACCATGCTCCAAACCAGGGCTCTATCATTCCCAGAAGTTGTTGGTCAGCATTTCCCAACGTGCCACGGCCCACAGCTCATCCATTAGGGATCCACACACTAGCAGAGCTGGGAAAAACTCTCTGCTGGGCTGCCACTATGTTCAAACTTCCTCCATGAGCATTACCTCCTGTGAAGGGCATCTTATTCGAGTAGGTGTAAAATCTAAGGTTACTTGGGCCAGGAGAGGTCTTGGCAAGTTCCATCAGGCTCTGAGGAAAGCAAGACCCCACAAAGCCCAGGTGGACCATGGTTGTGTGCCCGTGAGGAGGGGCAAGCTGCCCAGGGGCAGGAGAGGGACAAGGCATGCACCAGGAGCCCCGAGGAGGGGCTGTGCCATGAAGATGTTGAGGTCTGGCCCTCTCTTCCCCACCCTGAGCTCAGCACCAAATTCCCTCTCGGGCCCCTCTTCGCCATGCAGGAGTCTGAAGCCCCTCAATCCTAACTCAGATCTCTGGCCTGAGGCCACTGGCAGGTGACAGTTCTGTTTGTCCTGGAACTCCTGGCCAGGAGCCATATTTTTGTGTCTATGACCTGAAGTGAGGACCAGA